AGTGCTACTGCTTCTAAAGAGTTTGAAAGCAGATTACTGGCTATCGGTGCTCAGTTGAAAGCAGAGATAAAAGACTGAAAAAAAATGGGTACAAATTTTTCACCTTCAGTGACAAATATAATCTAGAGTTGAACAGCTGTTATGGATACACAATATTGTTATAGTTTGAAATGCCACCAATGGCTAATTCTGCATGCATCTAACAATGCATTCCCAACACTTATTGTATATATCACAATTTACAAAAGATGTTCCAGAAAACACACTGGATGAAATGTCTTCAAAACTGTTTCTTGATGATGCTGCCCATTTTTAAAGTATCACGTGGCCTTTTGACTTCTTCAAAAAGTGTCTTTCCATTAGTTGGAAAAAAATTTCAGAATTCTTAGACTGATGAAGGATATTGTGAGTGCTGGTAGAAAACAGGGTGTGTTTTGAAGACCTCACTGTCTTCACAATTTTTAACCGCTTTTATGATATGAGTTACATATTCTGATGGGAGAAGATATTTGTTTAACAGAAGCCCAAAAATGACAAACAGGTCATGCTCACATACTGTTAAATATAGACCGCTAATGAATACCTTGTGTGAATGGTTGTGTTTATTTTCACAAGCCAATTATGATTCCCATCAAGTAACAATACAGCTAAGCAAAATAACTTGTTTTAAGTTAGAGTGAGCAAACTTCCAGATGAAAATTTAGGTATTTGACAGAAAGTAGCAGTAGTGGCAGGATTTCCATGTACACAGTGCCTAAGCCAGGAAGACTCTTGCTTTGCATCCGTATTTGGTGTAACATAAGATGAAGTAGTAGTTATGAGTCTATGCATCTGCTTTCATACTCTGCTAAGTAGAGTCTTTCAGAGGCCCCCTGTGGTAGGCTTCTGTCCTGTTACTTGTTTTTTCCTACTTCCCATGACCATCCCATTTGTCTTTCTAAGTGGAGATTGATCATCTTACTCCGGGTCCTCTTTCTTGTTTATCTTCTTTAGGCGCACATATTTTAGTATGTTTATCCTATCTTATAGATCTATATAAGTGAGTATATACCATGTGTCTTTTTGCTCCTGGGATAACTCACTCAGGATGATCTTTTCTAGATCCCACCATTTGCCTGCAAATTTCACGATTTCCTTGTTTTAATTGCTGAGTAGTATTCCATTGTGTAATTATACCACAATTTCTGTCTCCATTCCTCAGTTGATGGACATCTGGGTGTTTCCAGGTTCTGGCAATTACAAATAAAGCTGCTAAAAAAATGGTTGAGCAAATGTCTTTGTTGTGTACTTGAGCTTCTTTCAGATATATGCCTAGGAGTGGTATAGTTGGATCTTGAGGAAGCGCTATTCCTATTTGTCTGAGAAAATGCCAGATTGATAACCAAACCTTCAGCAGAGTGCAGAGAATCATATGAAAGAAGGAGGAGTTAGTATAACCTAGAAAGAAAAGGAGCTCCACAAAGACAAAACATATCAGGGCACAGGGGCCCTCTATGAGACTGTTTCTCCAACCAAGGACCATGTATGGATATAACCTCGGATTTAGCCCATGGTAGCTCAGTAACCAAGTGGGTTTTCCTAGTAAGGGGAACAGGAACTATTTCTGACATGAACTCAACGACTGGCTCCTTTACCCCCCACACACATACCCCGAGGGAGGAACAATCTTGGTAGGCCACAGAGGAGGACATGGCAGCCAGTCCTGGAGATACCTGATAAGCTAGGGTCAGATGAAAGGGGAGGAAGACCATCCTTAGCAGTGGACTACTTGGAAAGGAACAGGTAGGAGATGAGGGAGGTAGGGTGGGATTTGGAGGGAATGAGGGAGGGGGCTACGGCTGGGATACAAAGTAAACAACCTGTGATTTATATAAAAACAAAATAAAAATTAAAAAAGGATGAAGTAGTAGGTAGAAGCATAGTGCAGGAAGTTAAACTGTGCTGAGTTCCTATGTACCAGTTTACTGACATGATTAGTTATGAGAATGTATTCTGCCTGTTTATCCAGGCCACTGCAAAGAAGGAACACAGAAATGTCACATGCAAATAAAAGCAATTGAATAAGAAGTAAGTGGGCATGTGAGGTAGAAGAAGATAACACCAATGGTGGGCATTTGTGGACTGCTGTGATGCATACAGTAAGAGCGCCTTTCACCTCTCAACCGAAGAGCAACAGTGATTATTGTTTTTCACAGATATCCAGCTGCTACTAGAAATTCTGGCTGTGTACCAGTGTTTTGCTACAAAACTAAGACTGCCCAAATTGAATGAACTCAATTTACTGAAAACAAACCTCTAAATTCTGAAAGAATGTTCACCAAAATATGTTTGCCTTTTCAACAATCCTGACCCCAGAGCATAAGGACTGAACAGCATTCTTCATCCGTGACTCTCAATCTTAAATATGCAAAGAGGTTACTGAACGATATAAAAATATATTTCCATCAATTTAACACATTTTATGTTCTAACCAACACTTCTTATTTTTTTTCTGATTGCAGAATTGGTACAAAACTATTCCTTTACAGTTTTTGGTAATTTAAAAGCACTTCTGACCTTTTCAAAGAGAGTAAACATATGGATAATGACGAGGAACTCAGGGGGAGTTTTGAAGTAACCTTTCAAAGATTCCAAATAGTTCATATAAAATGGCTTTCTTCCCTATCGGTTTAGTAACTGAAGAATGAATGAGGCTTTTTCAATAGGCCATTATTTCAGAATCAGTGGTCCCAGACAACCAGCCTCCCTGCGGATGCTCCTGGAGCAGATGGTGCAGGCGACATGGGGCATATTACAGAGATAGTGCTAGAAGCAATTACGGCACCGTTGAGTATTAGTGCTCTGAGCTCCATGATGCTCAGAGCTTATACTGTGCAGTGCTGCGGAATTGGAAAAGTCCAGAAAACTAAACTAGCTGAATAGTGTGTGTGTGTGGGGGGGGGAGTTGTACTTATTATTTCTTTAACAAAAAAAAATTAATTTTCTGGTTGTTTTTTTTAGCCGGCCAGGAACTGTACATAGGACCTCTTCAAACAGGAATTCTAGATTTACTTTTCAATTTGTCCATGAATTTTGAATTTTTACTCACAGTAAATATCTTTTCTAGTTACAACAAGAAATCTATTGCTAGAAATATCTGGAAAGGAATGCAAATATGTACATACATGCATTTAAAAGTTAGCTTAGCACTTTGTCCAAAATCTGTATAATCCCAAGGCAGACCAAATATCATCATGGAGAAGGAATGTGGACACAGGGTCCCATCCCTACTTGAAAAGCTGCCTGCAGTTGATAGGTACAGGAAGAGAGGGTTTTCTTTCAGAGTGTAAGCAGCTCATGATAAAATGAAACACCCTAGTGCATGGCCATACACCCAAAAGCACATGGGTAGCACAAACTGGAGCTCATGAGTTTAAAAATAAAAAGAGGATGCAGCGTTTTGTGTGCAGGGAGGGGAGAAGATGGATCTTGGGGAGTTGGGAAATGGGGGGTTCATATGTTCAAGAGAAATTTTGTAAAAGTCTTAAAGAACTTATATATTCCTATTGCTAAATGCCACACACTGAGTAGTGCTTATATTCTTTTTTGAGATGATAAAATGCAACCGCAAGAAGAGACAGAGGAAGATGCATGGGCCATGTAGCAGGCAGAGGGGGGAGCATCTGGTATGTTGAAGTCAGAGGCAAGTAGTCTCAGTGCCAAATACTCATCAGAGAGACACGTGTGATTTCAAAATTCAAAGCAAAGGCTGGCTTTGACTTGCCAGAGGAGAAAGTCTAAGAGTTTGGAGGCCTCCTTTTTGCTTACCATATTTGATAGTAAAGAAATAAGAAAATGGATGTGATTTTAGTTTCTCTGTATATCTCCAATATTTTCCAGATAACTCAAACTTTCTTAAAACATATATGCTTAAATCACATAAAATGAAGTCTATGTATTTACCCTTTTTCAAAAACTACAAAGAGAAAACTAATAATAAAACTCAATATGAGGTGGCATGCTTGTGTATATCAGTACTTTATCTACATGGGAGGTCGAGTTGTAAGGATAAGCAGCTCAAGATCATCCTTGGTGCTTAGTGAGTAGTAGGCCATCCTGAGACCATTGCTCAAAAAGAAAGAAAAAGGAAAGAAAGAAATGTTGTACACATTTACACACACATGCATGCAAACACACACAGTAAGCTAAATTTTGCTTGAAAGCATTGGCTCTTTTAAAATAATCTTAAAATGTCACCATCAAAATCAATGTAAAATATTGCATTATTTTTCTTTTAATACTCAGAAATCATACTTGATTTTTCCTAAATTATTTGTTTTATAGAACTTGTCATATTATACAGAGTTTAATATTAAACAAGTGTTTTGTGGCAGGTGTAAAAGCATACACATTTAATCTCAGCATTCAGAAGGCAGAAGCAGATGGATCTCTATGAGTTCTGGGCCAGCCTGGACTACATAGTGAGTTTCAGGCCAACCTACCAGGTCTGCAAAGTGAGACCTTGTCTCACAAAACAAACATAAAAATCATGTTTTATCACTTAAAAAGTATATTTGGTTATTTTTGTATCACAGAGAGATTCCAGAAAAATATCACTTTGAATTTTGCTGAATATCTACAAGAAATGTTTCTAAAAATAAGTGCAATGGAGAAAATATATAATGGCTATGTAATATTTTACTATGACAAACAGGAAGAAAAAAATTGAAGGGAAAAAGATAAATTGTGATAAACTACCATTCTCTGTGTTCTCTTCTTAGAAGGTTTGTGGATAACTAAAGACTTAGCTGAAACAGCAAAACATTTCCTGTATCTGCACAGCTTTCTCCATCTACACATTCCACAGTGTTCCATATTGTGACTGGTAAAGCTACAAGGAGAGACATTGCTCCACTGACTTCTTAAAGCCTCTCTTCTCTTCCTTCCCTGACCCCTGCCCTGACATCTTCCTCTCCTTCTCCCTCTCCTTCTCCCTCTCCCTTCCTCCCTCTCTTTTTCAGGATTACAGAGTAAACATATTTCTTCGTCAAAAATGGAATGACCCTCGTCTTGCATACAGTGAATATCCTGATGATTCCTTAGACCTGGACCCATCCATGTTGGACTCCATTTGGAAACCTGACTTGTTTTTTGCTAATGAGAAGGGGGCTAACTTCCACGAAGTCACTACAGATAACAAGCTGCTGAGAATTTTCAAAAATGGAAATGTCCTTTACTCAATAAGGTAAGCACAGTCTTAAATTGCCAGTTTTAGTAAAACAAGGTACTGTAGGTTTGGTTTCGGTTTGTTTTCTTTACATCTATTGATATAGTTTTGAAATTTGGGGGCAACTTATCATTGTTCCCTTTAAGTTACTCCAATATATGACATTCCAAAACTATCTAATCAATAACCACAGTCCTAAGTACCTAATCCAGGAACTATATGAATTCCCAAAACTAATTTAACAAGTTGGTGATGATTATTGAAATAAGTACATTGGCAGGATTCACAAAGGCAACTTAAAGGCATCTGAGTTATATATCAATGAACTAGAACTCATTCATCCTGGTAGATACCTATATATAAAATAGTACAGGTTCAGTAAATAGGAAAATCAGCTATTTACAAAAATATACTTAATCAGCTTCGCATATTAAACGTCTTCCAAAAATATATGAATTAATTGTTTTATTTTAAGTATTCTGCAGTTATTTTCTTAGCTATGATAAAATCTCAAGGACAGCACTCATTCAATATTTTTCATAAGAGAAATATACCATGTTGAAATTTACACGGAATTGCTGAAATATTTGTATCAACAGTAAAATATTTTTAAATGTAAATAAAATTAAACTTCATATTTAAGTTTTAGGCATTAAAATTAGCTCTCTTTCTGTCTTAGTTTTTTTTTGTTTTTGTTTGTTTTTCTTTCATAAAGAATAGCAATATTTGATTTTCATCTTATCTTTCCACTATCAAAGCGGTTTCACTTTTACCATATAGTAGAATAAGAAAAATAAATAAATTCTTAATCTTAGTGGCAATGTTATTTTAAAACCTTTTTTTGCCAAGGGATTTTCCAAAAGTATGTTGTTCTGTATTTACTTCTCATCTCTTCATTCTATTGTACTCTGGCAGTTTTTCATATTTTTCTATTCCATGTGCCTGTACTTTCTTTTAATACTTTTTTGCATCCTAAAAGTTTCTATGATTAAATGGCTTTGTTTTTCAGATTTCTGTGTGTCAGTGATACTACTGATATAAACAAAGTGCTAGTACTGTTCTCTAATTAAGACACTCTATCTGGAAGAATAGCTTCATCATGATTCCTTTCTAGACAAAAGAGTTCTGAAACCTTTTGGAAATTATCAAAATAAATAATTAGAAAAGTAAGAATTTAACCAATGGAAAGTTATATCAGAAAGATTATTTCCTATCCTACCTCAATACAACTAAAAGAATACATAAAACAAACTGAAAACAAAACAACAACAAAAACAACAAAAAAAAAGTGCTCAGAGGTGGATGAAGTAGACAAGCTCACTATGGTGTCTAAAACCTGAGGAAAATGCAGCATGGATGATACGAATGATTCCTGGCTTTTGTCTATTTGTTTGTTTGTTTGTTTTGGCCTTATAGATCCCAGACTTGGAGATAAAAAAGCTGTTGACCTAGAAGCACCAAGAGGTGCTGACAAAATAAGTCCCAGCCACAGCTTAGTTTCCCTCATTAGGAAGTAGCTAGCAAGAGAAAAAAACCTTAGCCAAGTCAAAAACTGAACAGCAACAAAGCTATCAGTGGACTAGGGGATGGCCATGGGGGAAAAGTGGGAGGGAGGGTGGGATTGGGAGGAGATGAGGGAATGGGCCACAGCCTGGATACAAATTGAATAAACTGTAATAAATGATAATAATAATAACAAAAGAAAAAAACAGCTAAAAGTGACACTACCTCAGGCCAACATCAAAGCCAATAAACTTGGAAAGTTGAGCCAAGGCTTACAATTTGGATAGGCCACAATGAACTAATTCACTGCATAAGTTAGATCAAAGTTAGGGGGAAAAAAGAGTCAGCTCAGCATTCAATGCCCCACCCTACCATACTAAGGCACCAGGAAAGATCCTATATAAAACTACCTTCTCCAGTCAAGAAGGAATCCTTCCTCTGGGTTTATGTATCAGATGAGTTTAATTGACACTCAGGACTTTCAAATCACTTTGCAGTAAGAATGGCCCTCAATCTATGGTGTCAGTGGGGGGTAAACAATACTATTCCCTCACAGTTCAGTAGGATATTGGCTAGAAAACCTTGACTTCTGCTTGCCCATGGACGTAACTGAGTAGCGACTTTCCCTGTTACTCTGCTGGAACAGTGTCAGAGATATCCAGTTAAAACAGAAAGTTAAAATGAGATGCATAGTTTCAACAAAATAATATAAATATGACTATCCTTTTAGTCAAAATTCATTTATCATATAACGTACCAGAAAAATCCCATAGAAGGAGAAAAAGAAAATTAATGGCAAATATCAAAATGGCAAAGACAGTAAATATTGGATGGCTTTAGCTGTGGTAACTTCAATGACAAATTAGTAACAGGCTCGAAATAAATAAAATGTATAAAGTATCAATAAATAAGTAGAACGTTAGCATTGCAAAACACATCATCCTTCAAAAAAGAAAAGGATATTGAAGGTTTTTTTAATTTTATTTTTCTTATTAGTTACATTTTGTTAACTCTGTGTCCCAGCTGTATCCCGCACCCTCATTCCCTCTCCAGCCCCACACTCCCTCCCTGGTCTCCTCTCTGCCCCTTTCCAAGTCCACTGATAGGGCAGGACCTCCTCCCCTTTCATTTGACCCTGTTTTATCAGGTATCTTCAGGGCTGGCTGCAAAGTCCTCCTCTGTGGCCTAACAGGACTGCTCCTGGAAGCTTTTATGGATGAAGGAAACCATAGGAATTTATTAGAAGCAAATCTATTCCAAGAGTATAGCTAAGGAAGTTTTCTTTTTTTCCCCTTTTTATTATTCTCATTTATTGCAATTTATTCAATTTATATCCTGAGTGGTCCCTCCCTCGTCTCCTCCCAATCCCACCCTCTCTCCCTCTTCTACCCATAAGCCCCGTTCCCTAGTCCATTTATAGGGGAGGTACTCCAACCCTTCTATCTGACTCTAGCCTATCAGGTCTGATCAGGACTGATTGCATTGTCTTCCTCTGTAGCCTGACAAGGCTGCACCCCCTTAGGGGAGGTGATCAGAGAGCCTGACACTGAATTCATGCCAGAGAAAGTCCCTGCTCCCCGTACTAGAGAACCCCCTTGAAGACTGAGTCTACAGACTACATCTGAGCTGTGGTTTCAGGTCCTCTCCATACATTTTCCCTGGTTGGGATATCATTCACTTCAGGGCCCTCAGGGCTCAGTTTTTATGACTCTGTTGGTCTCCTTTTGGAGCTTCTGTCTTTCTATCTCCCTCTTCTTTCATAAGATTCCATGCCCTCTACCCAAAATTTGGTTATGAGTCTCAGACTCTGCTTGGATACCTCCATTGGTAGAGTCTTTCAGAGGCCCTCTGTGGTAGGCTCCTGTCCTGTCCCCTGCCTTCTCCTGCTTCTGATGTCTATCGTGTTTGTCCTTCTGAATGAGATTGAGCATCTTCCCTAAGGTCTTCCCTGTTGTTTAGCTTCATTAGGAGTATAGATTTTAATGTTTATCCTAAAGAAAGAAAGAGTGAAAGAAGGGACAATGAAATTTCAAGAAAGAAAAAAAAAGCAAAAATAAGTAAATATATTTTTCTCTTTATCTTGAGTTTATTAAATTACATTTGACAGTTGAGCTAAAGTTATAACTGATGCAGAAAGCATGTATAAATAACAAATGAGACTATGCTTTAACAAGTCAATAATGATTCTTAATGTCAATCACGTTGTTGTTTTTATAAACAGAAATCAACAAAGCTGGTAATATTTAGTATTGACAACTACTGACTCAGTGGACATCTGTTTGCATTATTAATAATTGGCAAGATGATTTTTTAAAAAGATTCATTTGTTCTTTGATTTTTTAAATTTATTTCTAGTGAACTAAATTGTGTACTTATTGTGTGTTTATTAAATTTGCATACAAAGGTACCTCTTGTGACAACAACAACAAGTAGCTTCTATGTTCCTCAGTAAGATCATGACTAAGGAGCTGGAGAGATAGCTCAGCAGTTAAGAGCACTGGCTGCTCTTCAGGTAACCAACAGTTGATTCTCAGCACCAACATGGTGGCTAACAGTCATCAGTAGATTCAACAACCTTGACTAGCCTCCATAAGCACTAGACACACATGGGATACACAAGTGTACATGCAGGAAAACATTCATGCACATAAAATAACAAAATAAATTTTAAGAAAGAATATGGAAGAAATCATGAAATTTGTAGGCAAGTGGTGGGATCTAGAAAAGATCATTCTGAGTGAAGTATCCCAGAAGGAGAAAGACAAACTTGGTATATACTCGCTTATATAGACCTACAAGACATGATAAACATAATGAAATCTACACACCTAAAGAAGATAATCAAGAAAGTGGACACAGGCGAAGGTGATTAATCCTCATTTAGAAAGACAAATGGGATGTGCATTGAACTTATGACAGGAGTCTACCACAAAAGGCATCTGAAAGACTCTACCTAGCAATGTTTCAAAGCAGACACTAAGACTCATAACCAAACCCTCGGCAGAGTGCAGGGAATCATATGAAAGAAGGGAAGTTAGTATGATATGGAAAGGATAGGAGCTCTACAAGGACCAAATATATCTGGGCACAGGGTCTTTTATGAGACTGACACTCAACCAAGGACCATCTATGGATATAACCTAGAACTTCTGCTCGGATGTGGCCTGTGGTAGCTCAGTAACCAAGTAGTTTTCCAAAGTAAGGGGAACACGGACTATTTCTAACAGGATCTCAAGGGCAGGCTGTTTGACACCCTCCCCCCAGGGGAGGAGCAGTCTGTTAGGCCACAGAGGAGGACTTTGCAGCCAGCCCTGAAGATACCTGTTAAAACAGGGTCAGATGAAAGGGGAGGAGGTCCTCCCCTATCAGGGGACTTGGAAAGGGGCAGGGAGGAGACCAGGGAGGGAGTGTGGGGTTGGGGAGGGAATGAGGGAGCGGGATACAGCTGGGACACAGAGTTAACAAAATGTAACTAAAAAGAAAAATAAAATAAAATAAAATAAAAGAAAGAATAT